AATGCTCCTTTCCCACCTTTTCTGCTGTATTGCTAAAGAAAGTCACATGGTCCTGCTTATTGGCACCTTTTGAATTTTTAGTGTCTAAACCACAGCTGGGCTATCAAGGATGCTATGGCAGTATTTTTAAGTGGAGTTCCGTGAGATGTCCCTGAAAAGGGGTTTCCATGGCCAAATAAATTTATGAAATTTGGCAGACTATATTGCCTTTTCTTGGGACAGTCTCCTGAATTGAAGTTGGGGACCCATTGTTTTTTCTCTTTTGAGGCAAGTGAGTATGATTGTTAATTAGGTTGTGACCATTATTTTCTAGCAAACTCTACCAAGGCCTAAGTATCTTCAGTTGGAAGACCATTTTTGAGAATGGTCTCTTTGGATTTCAAAGTCCTTTCTTGAGAATTATACTTAGATTCCTTCCTTCCTTTTTTTTTTTTTTTTTTGGTGAGGAAGATTGGCCCTGAGCTAACATCTGTTGCTAATCTTCCCCTTTTTGCTTGAGGAGGATTGTCCCTCAGCTAACGTCTGTGCCAGTCCTCCTCTATTTTTGTATGTGAGATGCCACTGCAGCATGGCTTGATTAGCAGTGTGTAGATCTATGCCGGGCATCCAAACCTGTGAACCCTGGGCCACTGAAGTGGAGCATGCAAACCCAACCACTGCACCATTGAGCCAGCCCCTTACATTTCTTTTTTTTAGCGAATGTATAGCTTTAGTACAGCAACCTTACTGTTAGTACCCCCAAATAAGTTTGTGATAGTTTGTCATTGGGTTCTCACTTTTTGTTCTCAAAACAATAAGAAAAATTTTCCAACCCTCCTCCCCGCCCCCCGCCCTCTTCCCCAGCATTTGCCCAGAAGTGCTTGCCAAGGCTACCTGCAGGTTGTGGACGGACACTGTTAGACTTATGTCTTTGGTCAATTACAACCTTTCCCCGCTTCTAAAATTCACAGTGTGCTTTGGCATATTGAGGGGTTGAGAAGCTCTTAAAGAACTTCATTTAACTTTATTTATCTAGGAAGTTCTTAATGTATTTATCCAGATACCTTTTTAATTGTTTTTGAATTGTAATTTACATTTGATAAATGCTGTGAGTTTTGATAACTATGTACTCATGTGTAACTACTTCTCAAAACAAGATAGAAAATAATTATATCACCTCAAAAAAGTGCTTTGTGCATCTGACCAACTGTTTCTCTGTGTGTCGCCTCCCCTTTTCTGAAAGTCATTTTGACTTCTATCACTTGATTAGTTTCACTTGTTATTAGAAGTCATAAATGAAATCAGTATATCTTTTTGTGTATCTTTTGCCCCATGTGATATTTTTGAGATTCACCCATATTGTGAAGTATATAAGTGGCTCACTCATTTTTGTTCCTGAGCAGTATTCTTTGTATGAATATACCATATTTTGTCTTGTTTTGCTTTTCTTCCAGGTTTCTCTTGATATTTGGGCTATTATGAATATGGCTGTTATGAACATTCTTGTACAAATATCTTTCTGTAGACACTATGTTTTCATTTTTCTTGAATATATATCTAGGAGTGGAATTATTGTGATATAGGGTAGATGTAGTTTCAACTTTTTATGAACTTGCCAGTTTTCCAAAGGTGCTATACCATTTTACACTCACATTAGTGTGTGTGTTCCAGTTACTCCACGTGGTAGGCTGAATAATGATCCCCAAAGACATCCAAGTCTTAATCCCCAGAACCAGTGAAAGTTATTTTATATGGCAAAAGGAACTTTCGAGATGTGATTAAGGGTCTTGAGATGGAGAGATTCTTGTGGATTATCTGGGCAGGCACTAAGTGTAATTACAAGTGTCCTTATAAGAGGAGGGTAGAGGGAGATTTGGCTATAGAATGAGAAGGCAGTGTGACAACCCAGTTTTTCCTCTACTCTTCCCCAAGAGACAGGAGATCAGGCCCTAGGTGTGGGAAACTTACCCCTTCCCTTGGAAAGCTTTTGCTTCATATGAGGTACCACCAAGTGGAGGAACTCTCTCCCGTCTCTTACCCCATGCCAGTCTTTTTCAAGCGCACTCAGTTGAGGCCCTTGGAGAAGAGCTTGTGAATGAGTGCAGATTCCCCTTCTACTGAGTCTTCCAGGGATTCTTAACTGTCGTCCCAGCTAACACTCAGCCTTTACCTTTACTTTTATCTTTAATATTCAGGAGGTTGACTATGGACTGTGTTTCCTTTGCATCTGTGGGTTGATGTCTGCCATCACTTCTGAAAAGTTCTTGGCCATTATCTCTTTGTGTTTTTCCTGTCCCCGTTCTCTTTTTCAACTTTTTCTGGTGCTCCAATTAAACTTTAGTTAAACCCAGTTGATGTTTGGTTTTGGATGTTCTGGGGTTTTTTACACACTGTTTTTTCCTCATTTTGTGTTTTAATTTGAGTATTTTAATTTGGCCTGTCTTCAAGTTCAGTACTCATTTCTGTCTGTTATTAAGTCCATCTAAAGAAAAAAAACCTTTAATTTCAGATACTGTATTTTTCTGATACTCTGTTTCTAAAATTTCCCTCTGATCCTTTTATAGCTTCACTGTCTTTGGTGAAGTTCTCCATTTCATTATGCACATTGTCTTTTCCTTCAGTGTTTTTTTAAATCATAGTTATTTTTAAATCTGTGTCTGATAATTCCAGCATCTCGGCCCTTTCTGATCTGATTAGATTAATAATTTCATCTTTTGATTATAGTTTGCTACTCCCTGTGTTTTGTAATTTTTAATTGAATGCTGAACGTTTGTTTAATAACAGTACAGTTTGAAGTAGTATTTACCTCCTTGTGTTAGTCTGTTGGATAGTGGGGCTAAGCCAGTAAGATGTGTAGTTGAGCTCGTTCTGGGCTTTGAACTTTAGTTTGATTAAAGTTCAGTTGTTTTGAGAGCAAGATTAAGACTTTACTTTCTGCAAGATTTGTTGTCTGAGTGTAATTTCAGTTATCTCTTTGCACTTCATATCTGAGCCATCAGCTTTCTGATCTGTGGGCCGGTTCTCTCTACTTTACAACCAGCTGTTGATTTCCTTGCCTTGTGGCGTTCTTTTTACTCTCCCATCCTGCCCCAGGCTTTTGTGCCTAGTGAGATATCACTCTACTAGTAGTACCTTCCAGGGATTTCTCCTAGCACTCTTTCCCTACCCTAGCCTTGGTAGTTCAATGTCCAGAGTATCTGGGAGGAAGTTTTTCTCTCAACTCTCCTGTCCTACCTCATTCTTACCACTGCTGAATGTCTAGAGTCTATTGGATTGATTTCTCTCACTTCTCCTGCTCATCCCTCCCTGCCCCCATCAGAGGATAGATTTTTTGCATTTGAGGGAGACCGTAAGCTTCTTGGGGTATCTCAGCTTTCTAGCCCTGTCCTCCAGCCTTTGGCATATTTTCGCAAGCTCTTGGTGAAGACCTGTGGAAATGAGTGGTTGGGTAGTGCAGGTTTGCTCTGTGAAATCCTTGGAATTCTGATAGGTCTTGTCGGCGTACGTGTTTCTGTTAAAATATATTAAAGTTTAGGCTGGTTCCCCTTACCCTCATCTATGGTAGAATTATTCCTCCTTAGCCACTCCACCAGGAAAGAGACCATCTGTGGGCCTCTCTTCTATCAAGGGTCAATACTTGCTGGAATTTAGCTCTTCTTAGGTTACTTTGCATCCTTTAACTCTAATAGATTCAGAAAACCAGGATTTTGTAGCTGATCTGGCTTGTTCTGATTGTAAGGATGAAAGGGATGGTCTCTTGTGACTTTCTACATCCCAGTTAGAAGTGCAGCTCTTCTCTTGGAATACTTTTTAATGTATAGTTTGGCAAATACGTGATAAAATTTATTTCACTCTAGTTGATTTTCTTTAGTATTTTTCAGAGCTAGTTTTCTAAATCTTTTCCATTCTTCTCAAATATAACTCTCCAGTTCTGTCCTCAGGTGGTAAATGAACTTGTCTCTTATTTTGAGATTAAAGTCATCAAACTAAAAAATTTAATTGATGGGCTTGTGGAGAGTATGAGAAGAATATGTGGTAGGAGCATAGAAAACTAAGCAAATGAAGAACTGAGATAATTAACTCTGGGGAAAAAGAAAGAGTTGTACAAAAAGGGAAACGTGATTATATAGATGCTTACTACTAATCTTATCAGGTACAAAATTATATATGTGATTATTTAACTACAATTGGGAGATAGTTATTTTTAAGGTTGGAGGAAAGTGAGTGATTATGGTGTAAATCCTCATTTTCCATAGAAAAATTAATACATAATATCTTCGTATTTCAAAGGTTACCGTTATAAGCCTATTACTGAAGTATAAATAGCAAGAATCAAAGTTAAAAGGATTTTAAAGAATTGTACCTCAGTGTGGGAAGAGGACCTATATTTGACTTTACTCACTATGCACATTATTACTTAGATAAAAATGAAAATATATTTTTAAAAAGAGGCTTAATTAAAAGTCTTCTCAAGGGATGGTAAAAAGGAACCAAACCTTTTCTTCACAGACTGTGTTTACCGTTATTTCTTTATTCTTGTTTACTTCACACATGATGCCTTTTCCCTTCTTAGAACTTTAGATTTTACTGTATGATACTTAGTCAGTTAGTTATGAAAGTTTAAAACTTTGGTGAGAATGGGCTTGTAAATTTTTTTTTTTTTAAGTTTTGAAAACAGATTGAAGTTCTAAAAAGTGAGAAAAACTTTCTTTTGGTGAGAATATTTTAATTACTGACACTATTAAAAGTTAAAAATAAAGTAGTATTGATAGGAATAAACTTGTCCAGTGTTGATAAAGATTTTACTTGCAGAATTATTGTATTTGTGCACTTATAACATCGTCTTATTTTTATAAGGGTTTGTTTCCACAATGGGCCAAGAAGAGAACTTCTGAAAGTCTGTTGTGAGAATAATCATTTGAATTTCTATCTCATTCTACAGTTTGCTTTCATTATTATGTTGAAATTATTACTTGACTTTAAAGTTAGCCTCTAAATTATCCTTTCCATATCTTTTTTAGGTTAGGTAAAGGAGGATATTTTCTTAGCGTGGATTGCTGCCATTGGTAAGAACATGTCGTCCATCTTGCCGTTCACTCCGCCAGTTGTAAAGAGACTGCTGGGATGGAAGAAATCAGCTGGTGGGTCTGGAGGAGCAGGTGGAGGAGAGCAGAATGGACAGGAAGAGAAGTGGTGTGAGAAAGCAGTTAAAAGTTTGGTGAAGAAGCTAAAGAAAACAGGACGATTAGATGAGCTTGAGAAAGCCATCACCACTCAAAATTGTAATACTAAATGTGTTACCATACCAAGGTAAGTGGTGGTAGATCAGAAATTTGGTGGTCATACTGTTGAAAATTGCTTAGAGGAATCTGAAGGAAAGTCACTGAAATTTTGTTACTTTCACCTGTAAATAGTGATTATTAAAATATGACAGTTATTTTTAACCTGTCTTACTAATTTTGTTTCACTAGTTAAGACTTGTTCATTTTACAGATCATTTTCGTGAACAGTGAGAAGGTTTAATCAAGCAAAATAAAATACTTTGTATTAAGTTTTATCTTCACTGTCTTCATTTACCTTCATTCCCTAAATGCTTCATTTTATGTTATCCTAATTTCTGTGATTGAATGACATTTGAATCGATTCAAAGCTTTTTCTGTCACTAGTGCAGTAGTGACAGTTTTCTCCCCCTCTGTCAAAACTTCAGTCACTAAGGAGTTAAACATTGTCATGAATTTTACATAGTTTTTGTTTGAATTGTATCGTTACTTCCAAGAAAGAACAGTATATGAGGCGCCTTTGTAGATGTCATCGGTAGTTAGAACCTGTCTTGAAGACCTACCTCTTGTATTGGAAGATCTGTTTATTACTTAAGAGGTTGACGTTTTATTAGTGTAAATTTAATCATTTACAGATAAATACCACTGTCAGAAAGACTGTTTTTTTTTTTAAATAAAGTAGCAAGAGATTTTTAAGTGTTTCACTACTTTTTGTGTGCATTACAGGGTTTTTGGGAGTGTCAGCATATAGAATTTTCTAAAATGACTGTTTGCAGTGTCATACACATAGGCCAGCACATAGCACGCGAAAGCATTTTACTTCATCCTGACCTTTTTCCCGTGAGCTTTGGGAAAACACTCTGGATGCTTATTGATTATAGATCCCAGAATCACCAGCCTGTCTGCTTGCAAATACTAATAGTAGAATGTTTCCTGCCTTGTTTGGTAGATTAATTATGCATTTCTTTCATCTTGTTTCATGTGTGTCTTAAATAAGAGTTGCTTTTCTTGCTTTATTCTTTTGTTTTACAAATGCCTAGTGAGTGCCTGCTATGTGCAAGGGCACTGTTTCTAGGCACATGGGTCTACAGTGGTGAACAAAACGCAAAATTCCTGGCCTCCTGAGGGATAAATGTACACAAAAACAAGTGGGCAAGTTAATATAATTTGAGATGGTAATAAGTACAAAGAAGATAATAATTGAGGGATAAAAAAGCTGCTTTGGATTGGATTGTGTCACGCATTCTGAGCTTTGAGAAGTAGCAGCTAGCTGAGGGAAGAGTCTTCTAGCAGAGGAAGGAGCCATCGTAAAGACACTGAGGTGGGAAATAGCTTAGTGTATTGGAGGATTTAAAAGGAGCCCGGTAGAGATGGAGTCACACAGAATGAGTGCAAAACTTGGAAGGAGTCAGATCATGTAGGGCATCATAGGGCACCATGAGAGTTTGAATTTTAGTCTAAATATAATAGAAAGCAAATAAGGATTTTTTTTTTCTTTTTTTTTTTGAGGAAGGTTAGCCCTGAACTAACATCTGCCGCCAATCTTCCTCTTTTTGCTGAGGAAGACTAGCCCTGAGCTAACATCCGTGCCCATCTTCCTCTGCTTTATATGTGGGACGCCTACCACAGCATGGTTTGCCAAGCAGTGCCCTGTCTGCATCCGGGATCCAAACTGGCCAACCCCGGGCCACCGAAGCAGAATGTGCGCACTTAACCGCTGCGCCACCGGGCCGGCCCCCATTTTAATGAATTTTTTTATTTAAATCTATTTTTAAAGGTTTTTTACATTTTACAGAGATCACTTTGGCTGTTGGAGACAAGTGGTGAGAGGGATAGTGGGAGTGTGTGTGTCTTTGTGTGTCTTTGTGTGTGTGTATGTTAGACTGGATGGTGGATCTGGAAGCAGGGAAATCAGGAGGCTATTAAAGTAGTCTAAATGAGAGACGCTGGCAGCTGGACTGGGCTGCCGGCTGTGCTAAACGTGAAGTGGACGGTTTTGGATGGAAGTAGAACTGACAGGACTTGCTGACGAATTGGCTAAGAATAAGTCAAGCTATGTTTTTTAATTTTTCGTTGTTTTATGCCCTGTATTTGAGTTCAGTAAACTTGATTAAATACCCACTACCTGTATGATACGCTCTTCCTCACTGGCATTAAATACAGTCTTTGTTCTTGAGTTGTTTACTCAAGGGATTTAAACTTTAAAAAATAAAAAAGGTAATTTCGTAAGGTGCAGTAGGTGTTATGAAATATGTGTGCTCAGGGAGCTGTGTCCAGAGGACGGGAACTTTGCCTACTCGGTGGCTTCTGGAAAGTTTCTTTCTGGAGAAGGATTGTTCCCTTTGTTGAATCTTGATGGATGTAAAGGAGGAATTTAGTCAAGAGAAGTCCGATTCATCCAGAGTGTCACTGTAGTGTTGAGGGTGCGATGGTAGGGGAGGACTGGTGAGGGGGTCTAGTGTCCTGGGAGTGTGAAGTGGGAGATGGAACACGCCAGGAGTGAGTCTGTGTAGTAGTAAGGAGCCACAGCCTGCCGAGCTGGGGAGTTCACGCTGAACCCACGTGGCTGGGTGAGGGTGGAGTCATCGAAGAGTCTTAGGTGAAGGAGACTCTCAGGTCAGATTAATTTAAGTCCGACATCTGGCTGCAGTGAGGAGGATGGGGGTGAGACTCCCAGGTGTGCGGGCAGGGAGATCAGTTGGTGTGTTTGTCTCTCTCGTCAAGGGGAGCTCTGTGGTCCAGTAAGACCTGGAGCCACTTTTTTGCCCAGCTTCATCTAAGGCTCACACTGCCGCTGCAGTAAGCTTACTGACGGAGCAGAGCCCGAGAGTAGAGCTGTGCAGCCCTGTCCTTCAGGTCGCAACCGGATGATTACAATTTACAGATGTGGGTATTTAAACTGTGGAGGTCACTTTAGTCAAATTTCTTTTCCTTATTTTCCGTGCTTCCTTTTACAGCCTATTTTAGAGATTTTTCATCTTCTAAGGCTTTTTATCAAAATTTTTTTCTACCCTTTCACCTGACTAATGAAGTGAAGTGATGGTTGTCCATTACCTTGTTTTTCACTAGAAACTTGCTTGTCTAACTTGGTGTTTTTCTATATTGCAAGAAATGTAGATTTGTTAATATTGTTACCAAAAATTTAAGCTCCTCACGCTGTAGTTTGTGTCATATATTTTATAAAGTTTGCTTTGCTTGTAGTGGTAGAACAGTTATATTGTGTCAGATTATTACTCATTTCTTTACTGCTAAATATCCTTAAACATTCAGTCAGCTCTTTTTATGGAGACTGTAAAGGGTCGGGGAATGGGAGTGAAAAAGGTCCATTATGGATAAACCAGTCCATAGTTTAAACAAAATTATTTAAAATCGGATGCAAAATGGATTTAATGTGAGCTTATTTACTTAAAATTGCAAGTACGTTGTTAATAAAATACCTTAAGGTTTTATAAACCTAAAAATACAAATAACTTCAATTGATGGAGAACTTGAAACATAAATTACTTAATTTTTTAAAGTGGTACGTGTTTTCTGTTAAAATACCTGTTTAATTAACTCTTAACAGAGTTTCCTCCCCTCCACCCTCCACCCCCTAATGTTAGAGTGGGACTTAGACTTAGAGTGGGACTAAACCCGGCTTTCTGTCCCGGCTGCCCCCTCACGTAACTGCTCTGCCTTCATTGCTTTGTCTTTGAAGGTTAGAAGCTGTAGTTACACACATACGTCACTGCTCCCTTCCCAGTGTTGTACGTCGTGACGCAAAGGGATTCATGAGTGGAACTTACCCTGTGAAGCTGCACTAAGCTGAGTAGTATAAATACAGTTTCACAAAGGTTTTCCACCTCAAGCATTTTTGAGACTGAGGACTGGAAGACAACTCCGTCGTAAAATCAGAATGACAATTGATATTTAGGTAATGAACCAATCACAAGAAGAAGAAACTGGCTTTCAGGTCATATTATCTGCAATAAACCAAAATCGAAACTGCAGTGGGCATGGAGACTCTGTAAAGTTAAAAAGGCAAGTGGCTGGGGGTCTAAAATGGCAATTTTATATCTCTTATATATAAATATGTAGAAATACAGAATTTATTTTCACAAACATAAATTATAAGGGCTTTACTAAGGTGGCTCTTTGACCAAGTAATCACATTTTTCATCTTTCATCCTAAGGAAACAGTCAAGAATATAGTCAAAGATTTCTGTTCATTTTGGTGTAGTATATAATAGCAAAGAATTAGACAAAACACCGTTCTAACCCGTGGTTTCCTTACCTCTGATAATAAGGGAAATCTACCAACTCATTTTATTCCAGAATTGAACAAGAATAGTAACAAAAGTTTATACCAATCTTACTTATAAAAATAGATGCAAAAATTATAAATAAAATATCAGAAACTAGAAATATTAAAAATAAAACCACAAAATCATGACTATGTAAGGTGTATTGCAGGAATGCAAGTATGTTTCAACTACAGGAAATCTATTAGTATGAGATACTTCATATTCATATTTAAGAAGGAATCTGATCTTGATGGATCTAGCAAGAGCTTTCTATAAAATTCGAGTTTTATTCACGTTAACAGATTAGAAATAGGGTTTTCTTAACTTGATGAAACGTACTTCTAAAAATGTTAACACTTAATCATGAAACTTGGGAGAGAAATATACCAAATTGTTAATAGTGGTTATTAGTGGATGACCTAAAGGAAGAGATGTCCTATAATTTTTTCCTAATATTTATATATAAAAGTATGTTTTACTTTTATAGTCAGCACAATTAAATGTTTCAGTAGGATTTTTGGACTATTTTTGTCTTTTTTTATCCTTTCAAGTCAATTTTTCTGTTAAAGGGCAATTATATTTTCTTAATTTTTTTTAAAAGTGTATATATATTCATATTCATATCCGCTTTTGTCTTCAAAAAGTATGTTCCTTAAAAACAAAGTAGTATGTGTATATGATTCAAAAATCAGCCACAGATTATACAGTGGAAAAATGTCTCCGTCCCACCTCTATTGTCACCCATCTC